CAAATAACTTTTCTATCCGACTGTCCTAATACGTGACTAAGCGTAAATACAATAAAAATGTAAAAGGTATTTTATTTTAAATAATATATTCTATTACACAATTAAAACAACATTTTCATTTTGTTTCATAGAGATGTTATTTTGGGAGATGTTAATCACTATATTGATATATTGCATTTATTCAAATAATTTGTTTTAAAGGATGGTATAAATATTTTTAGCGATTTGAGTATTACATAATATGGGTGTGTTTAAATTAATCAAATAACCAAGCTTATTTTAAATACACGAAACTTGTGTTTTAATTAACAATCAAGTTTATTAGAACTAGATAATAATTAATATTTAGGTAATACAAATAAATATGTCAATCATACCAATTTTAATTAGTTATTACGCTTGTATTAAATAAATATATTTCAACATTATTTTATAAATATTTTACAGGAATATTCCTTGGAGTTATTAATTTAATTAGGTGTATATTTCTGTTCGCAGGAAAAATGAAGGAGCAGTAGCTTGATTTTCCCTCCTATATATCCTATAATGTAAACTAGACAGTTAGACATAACATAACGATTTCAGCTAACGTTAAAGTGTCAATAAACGCTCGGACCGTCGGCGGTGTGGACGCCGCCTAAACAAACACCTATTACTCCTGACACCGATGTACGAGATCTGTTCTGCAACCAAATGATACGACAAAAATTTATTCAAAAATTTAAAGGTTGTCGTTTTTTATATAAAAATTATTTTCAAACTTTTTAAAAACAACTGTAGTCATAGTCATCATCATCACTATGAACAATATCTCGTTTTCATAATATTACATAATGTTACACGCCACCGTGTAGTGGCGGTGTAAGAATATCTACTACCTATAACATCCAGTGGGTGTCGTAAGAGGCGACAGAGGGAAACAAATCGGGAGATGGGCAGCAGCGTCTTACTAATAACGACTAAAAATAAAAACCAACCCAACCCGCTAGCCAAGCAAATATGGCCCTATGAGGCTATCTATGAGGCAGGCCTATATTCAACAGTGGACTTTAGTAGCCTGTAACGGTTAACGGTTATAATGTTACAGGTTAAACGCTGCATGGTGCATGAAACCGCGATTAGACTACAGTCCATATATTATATGACATGTGTATATGGAACTATCATACCTAGACATACATGGACTAAATCATAACAATGGAGTGTATGTAGAGGAAGGGAAGGGAGAAAAGCCAGTGTCACGACATCTCTATTTAAACTCAAAGAAGCCCAAAGACTAAAAAATACAAGCAGGCGCGTTTAGATAGGGCATGAAAAAAATTTTAACTTTAACGCAAAGAAATATTGTCAAATGACAGTACTTTGGGCACTGATTTTGTGGAAAATAAAAACTGCATAATAAAATTTTAGAATAACATCTTACTTCAGCCAAAAATCGAACTCGCTCATTTTGCAAAAAAGTTATGTTTACAACCTATAGACGTCCCACTGCTGGGCACAGGCCTCCTCTAATTTCCGAAAAGGTTTTAGGACAAGGAAATGTCCGTCGCGCTGCCTCAATGGGATCTTCACACGTCTTCGTTTCAAGACAAATAAATATTTATTCTTTATTTCTCAGACATGCGGGTTTCCTCACGATGTTTTCCTTTACCGTCGAGCACGTGGTAAATTTTGCAAAAACAGTCTATAATATTTTATAAATCGATAAGTTGTTATTACGAATCACTTATTACAAGAAAACACCTAAATATATAAAATGCCTTTTTTACGTATTTATAACTTAAGACTTTATTTTCATGTCGTTTTTGTTATAAGTTTATAATAGAAATTAAGTATGTACATATTAGGTAAGTTTCATAAGCTAAAATCTATCTATTTATTACCAATATTGAAAATTTGAGGAAAAACTATTTATTTTAAATAAATGTTAGAAAAACAGATAGCATAAAAATATAATCTACGACGAAGAACTTTTTTTGGAAAAAGTAGAGCAACCTCGGTCCATTGTATCAATGTCATATCAGTCCATGTAAATACATCTATTTTATAAAAGTACAGTAATGTATACTATATAATGTATATGTAATACATGATTAATATACCATTCAGCCTGCCAAGCATGGCTATTAAGGCAAATCTCTTCTAAAATAAAAAAAGATTCACATCTAGCTGTGGACTATTAAGGAATGGACTTCTAGAACAAGAAAAGAAGAATATTCAAGAATCACAACCAAACTCTGCAGGAGAACTGATCTCTCTACATATTGTGTAACTAGTTTTAATTGCTCCATATCAGGAAAGCTTAAATATTTATTCTTGTATCTAATTTCTAAGCATGTTTTGAATAATATAATATGTATTTCTATGTTTATACAGGGTTATTTTGCAATAACCGGCCAAATTTGCAGAGAAGGGCCAGAATAAGTAATATAGGCAAATAGTGAAGAAAAATTAGTTAAAAACCATCTCAATAATTCTGTCCTTTTATCTTTTAAATTCAAAATGAGTGTTAATGCATTATTTTAACTGATTTTCATTCATAAATATCTAACGCCTACTATTTTACTACGCACGCAAACATTCGTAAGGGTCAATCGGTCGGCAAAAGTTTTTGAATTAAATCGCATACAGAGGAGCGCGCGTATACGTAGTTGTTGCCCATAAATCACATTCGATTTGGGATAATTTCAAATAAAAGTATAAGCCTCATTTACTCGTATTTTCAACAAACTGCGGTAACTTTATATCATTATTTATATATTTGAATTTATGTTTAAAATCTACTCTTTGAAAAATGATCCTGTATGTATATGTTTTTTTTTCTTTTTAAAAAAACGTTACCCCCACACTAGGATTTTTTCCTGTATCTTGGAGGCAGTTAACAAACATAGATTGCACGAGGACAAACATCCAGACCCGGAACAATTATTTGTAGGCCATACAAATACTTGCTCCGTGCGGGATTCGAACCCGCGGCCCCCAGCGCAACAACTTATTGCTAAGTCACTGCGCCTTGGAGCCGTCAAACCGCCGTTTGTTTCTGTTACGTGCTACGTATGTATTGTGTTATATTTTAAATGTCTAATACTCTTTAGAAAAGTTCTGCTTCTATGAATGTTTTCAGCGTAATAAATAACTAAACTATAAATAAATAAGTAAATGCATAATAGTATATGTACACGGAATAAAATAATATTAAAGCAAACAATTTTTACTGCACTACTAAACAATATTTGCACTGAAATACAAATAGCGTTTAGTGAATCAGAAAGCGACGTTTCATCGTACAATCAATTGTTTAGAATGCAGCTTGGGTTTCCCGGCGCCGGCTCGCAGCGATCCGCAGCGACAACGCGTGGCGCATGACTGATTGCTGGCACGTGCCTGCAGTTGGTGCACCCCGTATATGATGTTTAGATTAAACTTTTAAAAAGTAAAAACTGACTTTATCTAACAAATATAAGTACTACTTATTTACTAGATGGTAGGACTTCCTCTGAGTCTGGAAGCCCGTATGGATATATACCATCTTCTTACTAATTTCTACTGCCAAATAGCAATACTTGTACTACTGTGTTCCGGTCAAACGGGTATAGAGAGCCAGTATAACTGCAGCAGTCACTTATTATCAAGTGACCTGTAAGTTCGTCCGTCACTTCAGTTTTATATAAAAAAATCGGTAAAAATATAATCATCAAACTCGGTTGACGTGGTAATCAATGAAAATTGAGGAGTTTGAAAATTTTTTCATGGATTTCATCACCAAATCTTGACCAAATGTTTGTAAAATCTAATGAAATTAACAGTTTTAAAATGTTATTTTAGTACGGAAATCATAAACCAAGGCAACATCGATTATAAAATGATATAAATCTTATCTTAAATATTAAAAATATCTGTACCTTTAATAACGAAAAAGAAAATTGGTGTCTAGCTTTTGCAACCACGTCTCAAATTTGAAATCTAATTTACTCAAGACAAATGCCTACAACAATTAATCTGTTCACACGTATCATATCTATACCAAATACTAAAACATTGATTAGAGTTTCGCCACTGTACCACAGCTCATTATGTTATGTAAACAGTTCGTCGAGCCTAGGAAAAGGCCGAGATTTTACTTAATACTACTGTAAAATAACATTACGAGCATTTTTAATCTGCATATTTTTTTAAAACCTGCTATATAGGTACAAGGAAACATTATTTCACTCTGCCGGGCTGTCCGAGTATGTAAAATCATCATAATTCATATAGAATTTTAATGAGGCAGACGGCTCAGTCACTCATCTCATTGGCCAAATTAGTGACTGAGGGTTCGATTCCATGAAACATTCCTAGTGGAGGAGTAACGTTTTAAAAAGAAAACAAGAAAATCAACAGACTGTCTTCAGTCTTAATTTCAAAATTTGATAACAGGTACGTAGGTAAGCAATATTATTCACATATTATTTACACCAAGACTTTCTCCTGTATTGTAGAGGCAGTTCGCATACATAAATTGACACAAGGACAAACATAGGGACATAGCCGAAACAAATTTAATGATATATATTATGAGGAAGAATAATTTTTTATATTATTAATAATATAATACGCTTAATTAAATTTTATTATTAATTACGCTGTAATGACATAGCTTATTAATATAAAATAGATTTATGATAACGAACGAGTTATCGATCGTCGTGCCATTGACACGCTACGCACGAATAAGCCCTACCAAGCGTTGAAATGAGTTATTATTAGAAAAACATCCACATCTGCCCACGCACGCGCTATGCACGCTAGTTTGCATGTGTGCGTGTCAGTCTCAACGGCCTCAACAACATGCAATGCCGGCCTCGTGCGCGAACTGAGCGAAGCTAGGCGCACGTTGCCGTTGCGTGACTGCCACACGGCGGCCATGTTACCCCTCCCGCTCCCGCCGACTATTCACTCTCGTGTTACGTGTCGCTCAGTGCGTAACGTTCGTAAGTTTATATTTTATTCTATTAAACATGGAAATATTCATAGAGCAAGTAAGGAGTCACACATGTTTATGGGACACAGATAGTGTTGCGTATAGAGATACTGCAAGAAAAGATTTGGCGTGGAAATTAGTAGCGAAGGCGTGTGGCATGGTTAACGGTAAGTGAATATTATTATCGCTTTTTGCAGAGATCAATGAGAAAGAGACGCAATGATATACGGAAAAGTGAGAAGGACAAGTCATGGAGTATAACTAGCATATTATTATTATGTTTATTTTTGTGTGCGAAACAATTGTGTCAAGTTAGCGGGTATAAGTATGAGGAAAGGGGGCAGAATATTGAATCGTTGAGAAGGGAAACATGTCGCTACAGCATTGATGATTCGAAATTTTATACGTGGTAGAGCCATGCTGCAGCTTTGTTAGTTGTGAATGGGTCGGCTCGACCGGGGAAGGACCACGCTCTTACAGAATACCAGCGTAAAATAGCAGCTTAACACTGCTTCTGTGAGTTCGTACTGTGAGTGTAGAGAACCGGAGACCCTTTTTACAGGGAAAGAGGCATTCCATCTTAGTCCTCACGGGTGACAACGCATCTGCACTTTGAGTCTTTATGGATAGATGTAGATGTCTTTGGGTCACAGCAACCACTAACCATCAGGTGGACTGTGTGCTCGTTTGTCACCCTATTCTATAAAAAAAATGTTTCTTTTATTTTTGCAAGTAGTAGTAGTAGCCTGTACATAACACGTTATCATTACGAATTATTAAAAAACAATGCTAACTTTTTAAAAATATGTGTTACAAAAAATGATTCTCACGTTCTTACTAAAATAAGACACTAAACTTAGCATCACTGGATCTGCCAAATATATAAAAATATGGTGGAAACTGAAATCGATTCAAATTTCGAAGGTAATGAATGGTAAATGTTATAAAACATTTAATTATTTACAAACGACCAAATTAATAATATTTTATTTAAGTTTAGGTATGAAAATTAAAACGTGTTTTACATTTTTACGAGTCGAGTAATTTATGGCATAAGAGTTGAATTACTTGACACTTACTTACAAGTTATCTATTCTTCGTGCTCATTTTAGGCATTTTATTATTTTGAATTGTTAACATGCAAGATGCTGCTGCCAATATCCTGTCTCACTTCCCTCTGTCGCCTTTTAAGACACCCACGGGATGATATGAGGTAGTGGATATTCTTACGCTACGCAGTTCGAAAAATATAGGAAAAATATAGAGATATAGGATTTGACATTTCGAATAGATGTTCTATTCGAAATGTCATATATGAATTATCTGTGAATCTCTACATAGTATAAAACAAACTCGCTTCCCGCCGTCTGTACGCTTAGGTCTTTTAAATTACGCAACGGATTTTAATATGGTTTTCATCAGTAGATAGAATGATTTAAGAGAAAAGTTTATATGTATAAAATATGCATATTATGTATGTTATATAATTTTTCTATTCGAGCGTATGTGACTGAACTCCTCCTAAACGACTGGACCGATTTTGATGAAATTTTGTGTGTGATTTAATTGAATAGAGAATGCTTTAGATTCACAATTAGACCCGGTAGGTGGCAGAAATCAACCGTGCGAATCCGGGGCGGAACGCTAGTAATTGAATAAAACTATTTTAACGTATTTCATCGCGTTTAATTAACTTATTTTTAATTCCCAAAGTTTCAGGTGCTTTTCTGCGTAGATCGGTTTAATAATCAATATTCAAGAACTGAAGGTAGCTGGACTAACTATGACGTCAGAACGTCAAACACCTCAGTCCTAAAATAAGTAAATTAACGCGATAAAATTATTTTATAAAACATCTTAGGCTAAAATCCGTAAAAATAGTGTTATTCAATGTGTAGTGTTCGCACGTCGAAAATCAATAAACGAATGGTTAACAATAGATGGAAAGCAGGCGTATACGTCTAGCACGATGCGCGGCCCATACACGAGTTCAGTCTACGACACGCAGCTTCTCACTTTCTATTGTAGACATTGTTTATTGTTGGCGAATAAAATAGGGACAACAATTACGGCGTTATGATGTGTTAGCGTCTAATGCTCGATTTTTACATTCAAAAAACGTTTCGTTCTATACTATTCGATAACTTTAAGCCGTTGGTAAGTAAGTTGTTAAGCAAGTATTTTATTTTATAAATGGATTTTTCTTACACTTTTTGCACTGCATGATATGTCGTATTGTAAAAACCAAACCAATTGTTTTAACATCAGAACCATGTTCAAGTAATGTGTAAAAACTAGATATTAATAAAATGTTAAAAAATTGTATCAATTATACACATTATGTATAATGACACAAATCATTATGGTAATCAACAATCTAGGATCCTGTAGGGCAGTCTCACAGTTGCAACTATAATTATCTGATGTAATTGTTAGCATTTATAATAAGCAACTAAGTATATACCACTCTCTACCCTAAGTAATTTAAAAGATTTAAGCGTACATTTATACGTGGTAGATCCATGTTGCAGCTATATTAGTTGTATAGTTGTAGCACGAATGGGTCGGCTCGACCGGGGAAGGACCACGCTCTCACAGAATACCAGCGTAAAATAGCAGCTTAACACTACTGTGTTTCGTATGGTGAGTGTAGAGAAGGAGACCCTTTTTACTGGATAAGAGGCATTCCAACTTAGCCTTCACGACTGACCACGCATCTGCATTTTGATTCGCAAACGAGGATAGATGTAGATGTCTATGGGCCACAGCAACCACTTACCATCAGGTGGACTGTGTGCTCGTTTGTCACTCTATCCTATAAAAAAAAGGTACAGACGGCGAAAAATGACTTTGTTTTATACTATGTAGAGATGGCCAAAGCATAACGATTTAATATAATAATGTTATTATCTACATTATATTTACTTTATTTTTCTTTCAACCGCTATCTAACACTACCATACTCTGTGTAAGATATAATTATAAAATTAATATTAAAGTATTAATATCATCAAATATTAAAATAAGGGTTTTATAATCTTCATATTCTAGGGGCTGAAGCAAAAAATCAATGGAAAAAATTACGAGACAGTCACAGAGAAGCGATGCGAAGGAGAAAAACTGCAACAGCCTCACAAGCCCAAGCTATCGGGCCATGGAAATATGAAAAACTAATGGAATTCTTACTTCCCCAAAATAGAGAAAGCTATGCAAATTTTTGCAATGAAAGTTACTCAGATAGTCATCTGGGCTTGTCTATGGACGAAAATGACACCAACGGAGGACCTTCTACGATTGAAGTAGAAAGAGAAATGAGACGTCAATTAAAAGAGAAGGAACGAGAAGAAATGAGACGACATTTTTATGACGAGAACAGGGTAATGCGTGATGCACTCTCGGATTTATTTTCCAGTATGTGCCAAAAAACGCGTGAACTGCCGAAATATTTACAACTTAGAGTACAAAGAGAAATATTTGAATCAGTCACTCGCGCTGAAGAAGAAGCCTTGTCGTACGAAACGACATCTGCAAACTCATCGTATTATAACCCAAATGCTAATAAATATGGGCAAATAGGAATTTGTGAATTAGCAGAAACTAAATATAGATACAATGATAGTCCATCGCCGAGTACGTCTGTGATTGTGCCGGAAGAAGAAGAGGAAGTTAAAGTGATTAAATGACGTGGTTGTTATTTTTTTATTAGAAATTCAGGACAAGTGACTTTGATCGAACATCGCTTTCATATTTTAAAGAAAACTTTGTTAGCATGTTCAAGGAAATATTTTTTTATGATAAACACTATAATTATATTTGGGAGACGTTGGATTTTACTCACTATTTAGGGCTCAAGAAGTATTGTAATTAATCTATAATTTGTCATAAATTCTGTATTCTTAAAATATGATTTTATTAAACCATGACATTATCATCATTTTAAATATATTGATTTATATACTGTCACAAACCTACACTATGCGTATTAAAGTATATTATAGTATAAATAATTTTCAATTCATTATTTTCTAATGTTTGGAATATTTTGATATATATATATATATATATATAATAAAATACTGCATGAATTGAAAATATTGCCTTGTTCCTACTATAACTTACTGTTTTCCCTTGAGAATGGCTTAACTTTCTCAAAGTGACCCCTCGAACTTAACCAGTAAATACCAAAGCCGCTCAAACTATCAAAAACTTAAGCACAATTCCCACTTGTGGCTGACCCCTGTTTAAAACTAGAATAGCCGAAACTGGTGAAACCTCAACAGTATACATTATCCATTAATTAAATGAACCCTAGATGCTATACCTAACGATGTGAATACTGTGTGGGTGACAGCTGCTAATTTATGTTTAAATTTGTTAAAGTAATTATAAGTAACATTTTTTAACTTAGATACACATAGAACTGAATGAAAAAATCATCACTCTTTGGGTAATTAAGTTCACAATGAAACGAGAAAATACTTATCACAGATAAAAGCTTTTAGAAAAATTTACTTCGCAAATATCCGCGTTATAAAATAAAATGATGTGTCTTACCTTGTATGAAGAGCACCTCCCGCCCTCCCTCAATTTCGTGCACTATCCCCGTCACCACTAATCCCAGCACCGCTACTCCCAACACCACTACACTAGGCAAGACACACCACTGACGATAATACGACACGTGTTTCGCCTCTACACGAGGCATCCTCAGGTGATATAGACTCTACGGTGGCTAACCGCTAAGTGAGCTAAAGTGAGCGGCGAGCCAAAACAAGTGCCTTTTAAACAGACCGATGACGCAACCGCTCTCTACTCAAGGAGTGAGCGACTGCGTCATGCGATAAAACCTGCGACCAATCACCGCCGGACTTACGCAGCCGTTTGTAAAATTAAAAACAAACCGCCGCGCAACGCCCATCCTCCAACCACGCAACCAATCGCTGATCACCGTGAGGGTGACAAACGACCATATTGCGAGGCTCTCTATTATTAGAGAGCAGGCTTAAAGATATTTAAGAGAGGTGAGTTAGTAACATTTGTTTGTTCATTCAGCAATGCAACGGTAATATTGTTACTTTTTAATATCTCTAACTGTTCCAGCACACACAGCCGCAGCCCTTTATTACACGTATGTAAGACTTTAAAAGAGTGGTCGTTGCCTAGGTTGTGTCCAGTGTCCAAAAGATGTTTGGCAAAATGGGATTTATCGGGATTGCAATTCCTGTACGCGGCTAAATGCTTTTTATAACGTGTCTCGAAATTGCGACCAGTCTGATGTTACGCAGCCCTAATCCAGGCAATCTGCTGCGTTGCATCGGCTTACGACGATCACGAGGCGCCGTGTCAGCATAACGTGTCTACTGTCTTATATTACCTGGATCTAATATTTTACCGTGTGAATCCATTCTACATTCAAACATCGAATTAGAGTCACCTCACTTAGTTATAAGAATTAATTGTAATAATTACTTTAAATTAAATATATATTAAATAAAGATTGCTTTTTTTTGCAACCTCTGGCTGGAGCCCACATAATTGGCGCAGTCGGTAGGATCTTCTAAAGTAGAGTCAGTGAATCAAGAGTGACCAAGAAGATACAGAACCTACGGGAGCACCAGTCCAGAGGCGAATCCAGGCATTGATTCCGCAAGAAGAAGTAATGCTGTAAGTGCTTGAATCTTTCAATCCTTACCCTTCCTAGTTCCGTAATTAATTTTTTTACTCTATCCTAATTTTATATACACCTTTTTTTCTATTGTATTTTATTGCATTTTAACTGTGTTAGTATAAAGCTTCCAAAATTTTCCATCCAAGGGGAACACGGAACGTTAGGTTAGATAGTAGTAGGACCTCTAAGCTTAGTATTATAGACGAGAACAGAGGTTTAGAAACCGATAGTATGGCCCAATCAAATGAAATAGACCTAATTTATAAGTCACTTAGAGTTTTGCCCGAATTTGACGGTAACCCGTACATCCTTACGCGCTTTATTAACCTGTGCGATCAACTTGTGTTAGCCCACGTAAGAAATGAGCCCGGATACGAACTAGCCAATCTTTCTCTTATTAACGGGATTTTAAATAAAATAACTGGGCCCGCGGCTAGGCTAATAAATTCGAATGGAATACCCGAAACCTGGGCCGGCATTAAAAACGCTCTTATAAATAACTTCGCCGACCATCGCGACGAAACCGCATTATACAGTGATTTATCACTACAAACCCAAGGGTCTAGTACCCCGCAAGAATTTTACGAGCGAGTTCAAAGTTTATTTAGTACAATAATGACCTATGTCACTTTACATGAAACGATTAGTACGACTATTGAAGCTAAGCGCGCACTCTATAAAAAACTGACCTTGCAAGCTTATTTACGCGGATTAAAAGACCCCCTAGGGTCTAGAATAAGATGTATGCGTCCCGAAAGTATGGAGAAAGCACTTGAATTCGTACAGGAGGAATTAAACACCCTTTACCTCCAACAACGAAATGAAGGCAGCCAGAACAAGAAGGAATGGACTCAACCTTCACATAGCCTACCATTAAATAATTTCCTTCCAAAACCTACCACGTTTAACATGCCGTCACTACCTAGACCACAGGGTAATAATATACTGAACTCATTTAGACAGCCACCTATGCAACCGCATGCTGCACAGGGTTGGAGGCCCAATCTACCACCCCAGATGCATGTACCACGCGGTCCCACTCGTACGCAACAGATGATGCGTGCTCCTCCACCAAATTATAACCCCCAGAGTAATGTGTTTAAGCTTCCTAACAGACCTCAGCAACCACAGGGCTTCAATTTAAATAATAATTCGCGCCCTTCTCCTATGAGCGGTGTCACTCCCTTTGTTCCGAAACCCTTACCACCGACTGGACATGACTGGAGACGATTTGGCAACCCACCGCCGAGCAATTACTTTAAAACACGGGAGGTAAACTTTAACGAGACGGATTTTGACTACGACTATAGCACCGACGCGTACTATGAATACGACTATCCTGACTATAACTATAATCAAGAGTACTGTACTTACGAACAATATCCTAACTATGGATACGAGCCACCGTATAACCACGCGGAAGCTCCTATCGTAGAGGAAGTAGAGACTAATTTCACCCCGACTAATGATGAGGATTTTCGGAAGTGTCCCAAACCAGAAAAACAAAAATAGAAATAAATTTCCACATACAAAGGCAACTCGGTTACATTCAGACAAGTAATCCCCCACTGAAATTCTTAATAGACACCGGCGCAAACCAATCGTTTATTAGTCCCGAAGCTGTAAGAAAATATTTTAGCCATATTCCACTGAATTATGACCCATTCGAAGTCACCAATGTTCACGCGACAAGTAAAAATGATTATTCTATAACTCTCCCTTGCCCTTTAGAATTTAATGAACGAGATAATATAACCTTGTTCGTTTATAGATTTCATAATTACTTCGACGGACTGATAGGGTTTGATTTACTAGACATATGGGGTTCTAATATCGATCTTAGAAATAAATTACTTATTACTCGTAACGCAAAAATCCCCATCGAAATGTATGACTCACGTAACGCAAATTTATATGAAGAAATTATACCCGCGCAGTCATCAAAATTAGTTAGGTTGCCTATAAACTCAAAGGACGGTGACGTAGTAGTTGAAAATCAAATAATTTGCAACTGCATAATCTCTGATTGTATAACGAAAGTAATTAATAATCGTGGTTGGGTCGAAATTACCAATAATAGCTCAAATGATGTAATTTTTTCAATGGACCGTCCGGTAGAAGCCGAAATATATAATGTCGAGTGCCAGTTTACTGAAACGTTATCGGATCGCGCTAAAAATGTTCTATCCCGTCTTCGCACCGATCATCTTAATCCTGAAGAGCTAGCAAACCTACAACGGTTATGTGCCTCGTATGCCGACGTGTTTTACCTTGATGGTGAACCTTTAACATTCACCAACAAGATCAAACATAGAATTAAAACACATGATGAAATCCCCGTACATACTAAGAGCTACAGATACCCGTATGTCCACCGACAGGAAGTCCGAGACCAGATCAATAAGATGCTCGAGCAAAATATAATTAGACCATCGGATTCTGCTTGGAGCTCTCCTATTTGGATTGTACCCAAAAAGGCGGACGCTTCCGGCAAAATAAAATGGCGTCTAGTTGTGGACTTCAGGAAGGTGAATGAAAAGACAGTCGATGACAAATATCCTATTCCTAATATAACCGATGTTCTAGACAAACTGGGCAAATGTCAGTACTTTACCACGCTCGATTTAGCCAGTGGATTTTATCAGGTAGAAATGGATCCCGCGGACATTCACAAAACTGCTTTTAATGTAGAGAATGGGCATTACGAATTTCTTAGGATGCCAATGGGCCTGAAAAATAGTCCATCGACCTTCCAAAGGGTGATGGACAACGTATTAAAGAACTTACAGAACGAAATTTGCTTAGTGTATCTAGATGACATAATTGTCTTCAGTACATCCTTACAAGAACATATGACAAATCTGGAAAAAGTATTCAAAAGGCTACGGGAATCCAACTTCAAAATTCAGATGGATAAATCAGAGTTTTTGAAGCTGGAAACCGAGTTTCTAGGTCATGTTATTTGTAAAAACGGGGTTAAACCCAACCCAGACAAAATTAAAGCCATCGAAAAGT